CTGTATTATTCCTCTGGAGGGGAAACATCAAACGCTTTCATGTTTTGGGTTTTCTACCTATTCGTATATCTCCCGTATGTGCTCTCCCCTTGTCATGTGATCCAAGTCCAATAACATTGCTGTATTTGCCCTAGATCTAAAGTCCGCATTTGAGGGAGAACATATGATTTTTGGTCTTCTGAGCCTGGCTGACCTCGCTTGTTCTCCAGTTCCATGTCTTTACCTGCAAATGATAAGATTTCATTCTTCTTCATGGCTGAGTAGTAGTACATTGTGTACAAGTACCATATTTTCTTGATCCATTCATCGGTAGTGGGGCATCTTGGTTGTTTCCATAACTTGGCTGTTGTGAATAGCGCTGCAGTATTATTTTAAAATAATTATTAGGATATATTCATTATTCAGGGTGAGATTCATAGTGATGGATCCAATTAGATTTATATTGTACATTAGTTACATTATTCCATCATCTCTCCTCCTCAACCTTCTCCCTGCCCCACTTAAAGCAATTGCAAGAGGTTTCTTTGTTGTTTCACATAGGTATATGAAGTCCATCTACGTATACCATCACCTTAATCTTCTTCCTTCACCCTCCCCTCCTCACTAGTACCCCCTACCTGTTTTACAGTCCTGTTTTTCATTATCTACTGTTGATAGCCTTCTGAGTTGTTTATGTTTTGCTATTACAAATAGTACTACTTTGAAAATTTTATATATTTCTTAGTGCAACATGCACAAGTTTTGTTACATGTATGAGTGCAATTTTTATATTTTAGGGTAAGCATGTTCAATTCTAGTAATGCTAGAGTGTTTTCCAGATTAGTTCTACCAAATTTCTTTTCCACAGTAGTGTATGAGTGTATTTCTTTTGCTAAATAGCCCTACCAGTGCTTGTTTTCACTAGTCTTCAGTTTTAGCTACCACATGGATACATTGATTTATATTTTCTTGATCATGTAGCTCTTTTATTTTTCCTACTAGCTTTTCTCTTATTTTTCCAGGTGTTTGGTTTAAATTTGTTCATTGGTTTATAGAAACTTTAAAAAGTATTTCAGATAGGGGTTCTTTTTTGGTTGTAATATTTCTGACATCTTTCCCCATACTATAGATGGTATCTCTTGATGAACGGAGAGACTTGAGTCTAGTAGGACATCCTCTGGAGCTGTGCAGCATTGGCACACTGCTACCATCTGTTTGTGATAGAAAGTAGATGTCCATCAGACTTATGAAAGATGGGGAGGTGCTCAGAAAGAGAATACCTAGGCAAAAGTAGCCACTTTCCATCTCAGTCCATTTCTGTTGCTATAATAAAGTATCTGAGACTGGATGCTTTATAAAGAAAATGATTTATTTGGCTCACATTTCTGGGAACTCAAGAGGATGGTGCCAGCACCCACTTAGCTTTGGTAAGGGCCTTCTGGCTGCATTGCAGCATGACAGATGAAAAGGGAGGGAGCATGTGCAAGAGGGAGAGACCATTTGGCAAGACAGGGAGTCAGAGAAATTCAGGGCTAGGCTTTCTCTCACATGAACTAATTGGGATACCCTGAAAACTGCACTAATCCCTTTTAGGGCAGCATCCCCAATGACTTAACCAGCTTGAATTAGGCTCCACCTCTCATATTGCTACACTGGGGACCATACATCCTGTTAGGTCGATGCGGATGGGAATGCCAAATCGGAGCCAAATAACAAAGCAAACAGGCTTTAAGCAGGCTTTATAGAGAGTGCGCTCTTGGGCGAGGTTCACCATCCCCAAAGAACAGGGCCAGAGAAGTCACGCTGGAGAAATGGCAGCCCAGTTCTTATAGCCTGGGTGAAGTCAAGAGCTTAAGGTATTATGGGGTAGGTCAAGGTTTGGTGGGGAGGAGCTCAGGGTAATATGGATCTGTAGGATAGGTCAGAACCCATTGCCCCCAGCGGGAGTTGCCATGGTAACTAGAGGGGAAGAGGAAGGAGGAGGGTGAAATGGGAAGTCTCTAATCGCCATGCACGGGAGTTGCCATGGTTATCAGGAAGCCTGTAATTGCCACGCTCTGGAGTTGCCATGGTAACCATGAAAGCACGGAGGGAGTGGAGTGGAAAGTCAAGCGGAGAGTCCCTGATCGCCAAGGGGTGGCTGCCCACCGGCCAAACACATCCAGCATGTGAACTTTGAAGGACACACTCTAACCATATCCAAACCAAATAGCACTTTCCAACATAAACTTCTAGGTTGTAATCTCTCACAATTAATTTGAGAATAGAAAAGAGAGATGGAGTTTAAAGTTAGCTTGGATTTTAAGAATCAATAACATTTGGGTTACAACAAGATGCTGGTGGTTTGAGCAGTCCTGAGAGTGGCCAGTGCTAGCAGAGGGGCTCTGATTGGTGTGTAGCAGAATTAGAGCTTTTCAAGTAATGTGGGAGAATCACCAGAGCAGGGTCAATGGTCTGTGACTGTGGGAGGCATAGAAGTGCCTTGGCTCTGGTCCTGGTTTCTTTTGGCCACTATGGATGAGTTATTAAGGCTGAAGTTTTATACTGAATACTCTTAGAGTGCTGCTACTTAGTAACATGATAGGTAACACAGCTTCAACTTCTTTGTCCTTGTGTATGTGGGTGAGGTAAGTGTACAGTGAGTGTGTGTGTATGAGTATGAGAGAGAGAGCAATATTTGGAATAAAAATTATCTTTGTTTTCTGATGAAAGTTAAAATGCTACAAGAACTTAAGTGAGAGTCATGGAGCGAGAAACATACCAGTATGTTTTGAGGATATTAAAAAAGTTGCCTTTCCATATCCCTGTCAAGAAAGAGGGTGACTCTCTTGAGTTTATTGTTACTTTATCAAGAGGACAACCAAGTATAATGACTGTGTCTTGTAGAGGAAAGAATGAAAGAGTGAGCCAAAGATAAGAGTCTATCACAGAGCTAAATGAGATGAATAAATATTCTCCCTCTCCAATATGTGCCATAGTGAAATTGCAGGCACTAAAATTGAAGAAGAAATTCTGAAAAGCTTCAGAAAGACCCTATTTTCCTAAAGCAGGCATTTGAGTTAATTCCTTGGGAATATTCTGAGGGATGGATTTAAAATTTATCTCTTCATTTAAGAAAAGCAGTGTACATGGCAAACTTTCCTTCCTTCCCTAACTTTCTGTGGGTGGCAGGAACAAAAAAGAGAGGGGATATAAGAAATAATGACATTTTTGGATCAGGAGACCTGGTTATCTCTGGAAGTCAGGAAACAGAGAGGATCAAGGCCAAACATGTATACAAGGTAGCCATGGTTCTGGGTGCTTTGGGCTATGGATACACAAGGCAGCCATCATGATGAGTAAGCAACTGCATTTGGAGCCACTGGGCAACTTTGACCCCCCTTCCTCTACTTCCTTTGTGTCAAGTCAAGGGCAGCAGTAAGGCTTGTACTGAGGTGCCCTAGATCTTAGAAAGAACTAGAAACTTTACCAAAAATACATACTATTCCCACACATCTCATCTCACCCTTCCATACAACCTCAGGGGGCCACTTTGTTAAACAGATATATATATCAAATACAAAGGTGAACATCCAACCAAGAGTCACCAAACACCTCAGGAAACATCTACCAGCAAATGAGACTCTTTTTCAGTTCAAAAAAAGGATGCTTACCAAGAAAGCAGCATTCAGGGAGCAAATAGGGTTGAACCTTTCTGTAATTCTTCTAGAGGGAGAAGAGGAATTTGTGTTCATTAAATATGAACAGTCTCCTATTTCATGATCCAAGAAGATACTACATTGGGAATGAAATGTTTAATTGTTATTTAAAAATACGTAAATGAGATGAAAGGTTGAATGCTCACAATTAAAGAATGAATTGGCAAGCTGAAAGTTGGAATAATAAAATGATTTTTAATGTAGTACCAAGAGACAGAGAAACAAAGGATACTTGTATCAGTTCCTTTCAATGGAAAGGTAGAGATAGGAGGTAGAGGAGGTAGGCAAGGGAAGAAAAGAACCAAAAGAATAATTAATGACAGATAGGAGTTGTTAGATTAAAGAGTCTACACAGTGCTGATCATGTTGAATAAATGAAGATGTTCCTTGAACATATTGGAGCAAAATCTCATTACACTAAGAGTAAAGGAAAGATTTTGAAAAGCCTTTGTGAGAAAGTAGATGGGATTGTTTTGATTTAGAGGCATAATGACTCTTCAGTGTCTTGATGGGGGTAGGGGGCAATCCATCTATGGGAAGGATCTTGAATGCAGATACATTTAATATTGCAATATAATTTTGCACTTTGAAAATGCAAATGACTTCATTTTGTTTCCTATGGCAAGCTCTTCTTGGGTTTTAGAGTTATGTAATTTCTTTTTGGGGAATGGTTTGGATTCTCTGTGATACATGTGGGATATTAATGTTTGTCAAAGTGGGGTCTTTGAAATGTTGCATAATCCTTGTGTGGATTTCATGATCACCTATATTTATAGTTCTTTTCTTCCCCCTGAGGCCAAGACCTTGTTTACCATCCTGGAGGACAGTATTAGGATTCATGATTGAGATTTCCTTTTAAAATCCTGAGCTTTCCATGGAACAATTCTTTGTGCCTGGATGGCTGTTTAGGCTTCTTGATGGGGTAACAAGATTGCACAGTCAGGGGAAAAAGGAATGCCATTTATCCTAGATAATCTTTTTAAATGAGTAGGAAAGGGAAGATGCTAAGTTTTATGTTATATTAAGATTGAATTTGCAAGGGCCTGCTTACTGGTAGCTTGGTAACCTTGATTTGCTGTACCAGTAACTGGAGTACTCAGAATTCATGCAGGTATATTATGGGGCAATTAGTGAGAGAACTGAGAATAGACTTCTTAGCAAAGGGATCCTCATGGTGAAAATAATGATTGGTTTTACTGATTTTTATTAGGTAGAGATCTTTTAAAAATTTATCTTAGAATATCATATTTTACTGATTGAAGGGACTCCACATTTCTATTACTTTCCATCTTAACTCCCTAAACTTTTCTTATATGATTTTAGAGGTCAGAGCCCACCCGTTGCAGAATTTAACTTACTGCTGAAAGCTCACACTTTGGAAACCTACGGGGTGGATCCTCACCCATGCAAGGTAATAGTTTCTCACAGTAAGTAACCATATGATGATTATTTTGCTCCAAAGAGAATTAATTGGTTTGTAAGCATGGCAGAACCCTCTAGAGTTTCCATAGCCTGACCCACATCTCCTAATTGGAAGGGACACCAGTGGACTGTAGTCACATGTTTTGGCAGTTGATTTTCTCCACTGTAGTCTTGAAATTGCTTGCTAATTGCAATGAAGTAGCCACATTTTCCTAAATTAACATACACAAATTTATTTACCAAGTGGTTAATTTCCCTGTAAAGTTAGAGAATGGCAACAGATTTATTTTCAAGGCTGTTACCATCAAGAATGCAGTCTTTAAAAATGGGAAGGTGGAAGGAAAACAAAAAGAGATTTCAAACTACATTATGGGATTTCCTTATCTTTTTTTTTTTTTTTTTCGGTACTACTGGGGCTTGAACTCAGGGTTTCGTGCTTGCTAGACAGGCACTCTTATTGCTTGAGCCACTCCACCAGCCCTATTTTGTGTTGAGTATTTTCAAGATAGGGTTTCACAAACTATTTTCCTGGTTTGGCTTCTAACTGTGATCCTTCTGATCTTTGCCTCCTGAGTAGCCAGGATTACCCATGAGCCAGAAGTTCCTGGCTTTCCTCATCTGTTATCTTAATTTAAAGATGTCTTAAAGATAAGTTTCAAGTGGTTCTGCAACATTTATTTACCCAGATCTGATCAGCTTATTAGGTAAGTACTAGCTTTGCAGTGCTCAGCTCAGGCTGCTCATTAGAAGCACCTGGGAAGCTTCAGCAACATCTGCTTCCCAAACACTCCCATCCTTATTACACTATTGTCTATGATTAAGGAGGAGGCTCCCAGATGACTCCAGAGTGTGGCCACGGTGGTGGTACTTGTCCATACTGGGGTTTGTATCCTCTTGTTCTGCCTACACAATTATTTTAGAATATTTTACAACTGTCCCTTCTAGTAATGGTATAAAGTCAGTTTATTCCAATTAATAATTTAAATTTTACTCATAAATTTGAGCTTCTTTATTTTAGTCATTATTTGGAGACTGACTTGATTTTGTTGTTATTTCTTGGACTTAATTTATCCATGAGATGTTTAGTGTTCCTGGTATAGAGTGGAAGCAAAGTAGCTTTCATAGACATATTTAATACTGAAATTGCCAGAAAATATGTGTGGGATTAGGTTAGAGGAGAGATTTGGTTTCATTGTATTAGAGAACTGATGGCAACCAAGAATTGTTTCCTCACATTATAGAGTAGATTCAGAACACAGGTAACCCCAGAAGATATTTGAAAATAGACAGTGTTTGGGAATAATCTATATTTTTTCCTGGTGGACCCTTCCTTAAAGGGAAAAGCTGCATAATCATGGACCTTGCCCAGATTTTGGAAATCCTACTCATAGAAGCTTTACCTTAGAAACTAATTTGTTGTTGCAAGCATTGGATTTGACTTGAAATCAACCCAGGGTAAACGTGAATGAGCACACCATTTATCATTTGCTTCATTTTTCCTCAATCCAAATGGTTTCTTTTCCTCTCCTCTCCTCTCCTCTCCTCTCCTCTCCTCTCCTCTCCTCTCCTCTCCTCTCCTCTCCTCCTCTCCTCCCTCTCCCCCTCCCCTCCCTCCCTCCCTCCCTCCCCCCTCCCTCCCCTCCCCTCCCCTCCCTCCCCTCCCCTCCCTCCTCTCCCTTCTCCCTACCTCTCCCCTTCTCTCCTTCTCTCCCTCCCTCCCTTCATTCCTTTCTTTTCTTTCTTTCCTTTCTTTCTTCCAGGATTCAACAGGCACAACAACATTTTTAGGATTTACTGCTACAGGGTTTGTGGTGTTCCAGGGGAATAAGAGAATCCACTTGATAAAATGGTGAGTACTTCATTGGAGTACCATTTTTCTTAATTTGTTTTCCCCTCCCTTTGTTTTTTTTTTGGGGGGGTGCAATTTCAGGTGGAATGACTAGTGTCCATTTCTTTGCTAAGAAACCTCATCATAAAGGAACTTATCACCTATAAATGAAAGCCAACCTAGGTTGCCCTTAGTGGTTAATTGAATTTGTCAAAATGAGGAGTTGCCTCGGGAGATCTGGTCTCAGGCGACTCTGCCTTAAAGAGAAGGAATAAATGTTTCCTTACCAGGAGCTTCTGTTGATCTGATCAAAGGTGTGAATCTCAGGATGGGTCTGAGTGGAATAGAGGCATTAGTTTCTATCTCAGTATAATTTGTGTTCCTGAAACAGAATACCTGATGCTAGGTGATTATAAAGAAAAGAGGCTTATTTGGCTTATACTTCTGGTGGCTGAAAGGTCCAGATAGTATAGTACTGGTATCTGATGAGGGCTTCCTGGTTGCATTATAACACGGAAGAGACATAGAAGGGAATCAAGCATGTGCAAAGAGCATGTGTGTGAGAGGGAAAGCAAGAGAGAATGGGAAGGGGTCAGGTTCACTCTTTTTAACAACCTGCTCTCCAGCAAGACCTAACCCACTCTTGAATTCCGGCATCAATCCCTTCATAAGTGTGGTTATGATTCATTCAGTTCTCACTAGATTCCACCTCTTAAATGTCCCATCACTTTTTAATACCACCACACTTGGGACAAAGCTTTCAGCATATGGAACTTCCAGCACAGGAAACAGAGAAGTCCCTCAAAGCAACTCAGGACCCACTTTCTCTCATTTCTTTCCACTCTCCTCTTCTGTTGAATCCTTGGTGCAAACTCACTCTTTGTTATCCAGTGAACTTGCTTTTGGCAAAAGTAACAAGCATGTCTGTCTACTCAGAATGGCATACAAATAAGAGAACTGATTAGTGCAAAAAGCAAAAGCTGCAGAATTGGGCAAGTCCAAAATCCATAACTTAGTTGTTTAACAATACCATGAAGGATTTAGGTTTCCATTTTCTTCTCTGCTATTCTAGCTTGGTAGCTTTTGTTTCCAAGCTCATAAGATGCATAGGATGCTGGCCTTCATGTCTTCACACAGCAGAGCCTAGAGCCCAGAGGACTCTTTTTAAAATAAGAATAGCATTTTCAGAAGCCCTGTGAGAGACTTCCCTGTATATATAGTTGGACAGAACTGGATTCACATGTGCCTACTTAAACCAATCCTTGCTAGGAAAAATGGAAATTCCATGCCTTAGCTGGTCAAGTAAGTTAAGATCTCTTGCGTGCCCAGCAAGCTTGTCCTAGAAACCTTAGGTGGTGATGGGAGATGCCAGAAAAGACAACAGACAGAAGACCAAACATTGCATAAAGCTGGGGCCAGTTAGGCTGGGTGCTCAGATGGAGGCACACCAGCACCCCCCACCTCCAGTGAGTTTATTATATACAGTAGCAACGCAAGGCAGAGAGGCAATTCTTGGGGTGGGGACATGACATCGTAATCCTTGGGAACAGGAGGAACCTGTGACAGCTTCTTTCTGAACTAAACATTAAAGGAAAATATAGCTGTACTGCATCTTGCCCACTTCCGCAACTGAGGCTGTGCCAATTCAAGCATGCAATCTATTGGGCATAACTATGCTTGATTCCTTGTGCAGTTTGGGGCTGTGCCAAACTCAAACACGCAGCTTATTTGGTACACCCGTCGGCTCCCCACAAAGACTAGTCCTTTGCAGCTGGGAAGAGCATTGTCTGCATGAACAGGTGGCCTTGAGGAAGTCTAGTTTGTGTCAGTAAAGAAGTGAGAGGATGGAGTAGAAAGGCCAGCAGATACCTGCTGTGTTCAATTGAGGGGTTTTGCTAAAGTGAGGAAGGCTGAATATTATATGTGCATTGAAACGTTGAAAGGCTAAGTCTTGCTTATATCTGCATCTTGACTCACTTCTATTTCTGATGATCTCTGACAGTCTTGTCACCCCTGTGTCTTACTGGGTTATTAGATCACTAGCAAGACCCGAGGTCTGAACTGTTAGATATAAAGTTCTTGATGGGCCAATGAACATCCTCAGTCCTGGGGTGGAAATGTTCTCTTGCACTTACCTGAGTCTCTATATCCTGGCTCTGATAGCTTCGGGATTTCTTCCACCACCTTTTAACCAAATCCCTTCCCTTTCTTAGCACTCTCTTCTTAGGCACCTACTTTCATATATTTCATATAGTGAACTACATTTCATATCATATCACTAATTTGTGAACTATAAATGTAACATGGTAGTGTTTGCTTTTCCTCTCTGTACCTTCTCAGCACCTTATAAAGAAGTTGCTATGTTAATTATCATTGGTCCACTCCAGAATACCTCCCTAGGGATTCCTATTTACTTTTGAGAGCATGGGTAATTTGGGGTATTTCCCCCATCCTTTTCTAGGACTGCAAAAGGCTTGGGTTCCTAAAGGATGTTAGATCCTCAGGTTTCTGAATTGCTTGAGTCCCAGACCAGTTAGGTTAGAACTTGGTACACCTACAATGCAGATTAGTTTCTTTTTTATTGTTTATTCATATGTGTATACATTGTTTGGACCATCTCTCCCCACTGTTCCCTGCCCTCTCTCCTCCCTCTCTTATCCCCCTTTTGCTTCCAGGCAGAACCTGTTCTCCCCTCTTGTCCAATTTTGTTGAAAAGAAAACATAAGAGATAATAAGAAAGACATAGCATTTTTTGCTAGCTTGAGATAAGGATAGCTACACAAAGAGATTCCTAGCATTGCTTACATGCACAAGTGTATTGCAACCCGAATTGATTCATCTCTTCCTGACCTCTTCACTACTTCCTGGTCACCTTCCCATAGTGGCCTCTGCCAGTTTAAGATTACTTTATTCACTCAAACACTTTCAAGTTTTAAGTTTCCTTCCCAGAGTGGTTGTACTAGTCTACATTCCCACCAACAGTGTAAGAGGGTTCCTTTTTCCCCACATCCTCGCCAACACCTGTTGTTGGTGGTGTTGCTGATGATGGCTATTCTAACAGGGGTGAGGTGGAATCTTAGTGTGGTTTTAATTTGCATTTCCTTTATTGCTAGAGATGGTGAGAATTTTTTCATGTGTTTTCTGGCCATTTGAATTTCTTCTTTTGAGAAAGTTCTGTTTAGTTCACTTGCCCATTTCTTTATTGGTTCATTAGTTTTGGGAGAATTTAGTTTTTTAAGTTCCCTATATATTCTGGTTATCAGTCCTTTGTCTGATGTATAGTTAGCAAATATTTTCTCCCACTCTGTGGGTGTTCTCTTCAGTTTAGAGACCATTTCTTTTGATGAGCAGAAGCTTTTTAGCTTTATGAGGTCCCATTTATCTATGCTATCTCTTAGTTGCTGTGTACAGCCACTCTGGAAAAAAATTTGGAGGCTACTTAAAAAGCTAGACATCGATCTACCATTTGATCCAGTAATACCACTCTTGGGGATATACCCAAAAGACTGTGACACAGGTTACTCCAGAGGCACCTGCACACCCATGTTTATTGCGGCACTATTCACAATAGCCAAGTTACGGAAACAGCCAAGATGCCCCACCACTGACGAATGGATTAAGAAAATGTGGTATCTATACACAATGGAATTCTATGCAGCCATGAAGAAGAATGAAATGTTATCATTCGCTGGTAAATGGATGGAATTGGAGAACATCATTCTGAGTGCAGTTAGCCTGGCCCAAAAGACCAAAAATCGTATGTTCTCCCTCATATGTGGACATTAGATTAAGGGCAAACACAACAAGGGGATTGGACTATGAGCACATGATAAAAGCGAGAGCACATAAGGAAGGGGTGAGAATAGGTAAGACACCTAAAAAACTAGCTAGCATTTGTTGCCCTTAACGCAGAGAAACTAAAGCAGATACCTTAAAAGCAACTGAGGCCAATAGGAAAAGGGGAACAGGTACTAGAGAAAAGGTTAGATCAAAAAGAATTAACCTAGAAGGTAACACCCACGCACAGGAAATCAATGTGAGTCAATGCCCTGTATAGCTATCCTTATCTCAACCAGCAAAAACCCTTGTTCCTTCCTATTATTGCTTATACTTTCTCTACAACAAAATTAGAAATAAGGGCAAAATAGTTTCTGCTGGTTATTGCGGCGGGGAGAGGAAGGGTGGGGGCAGAGTGGGTGGTAAGGGAGGGGGTGGGGGCGGGGGAGAAATGAACCAAGCCTTGTATGCACATATGAATAATAAAAGAAAAAGGAAAAAAAAAGTTTCCTTCCCTTTCCCTACTCCTCCTGTGCATGTTCTCCCCTTAGTGTGTGACCCATGTCCAATAATATTACTGCATTTGTTTTAGGTCTGTAATCCACAGTGCAGATTAATTTCACATCTCTCTATCTTCAGATCTTCTTTTCTATCTGGGTACCTTGAAGTGAGGAGATGGGCAATCTCTGAACCATTTGTTTTTGGTTTCTTGTGTATATCTTGCTGTTGTTCCTGGTTTGGTGCTGATATAGACAACACAATTCTTGGTTTTTTCTAAGGCATATGTATTTGTAACAGCCATATACATATTGCTAAAACACATTTTCTTCTCATGTTTATCCTATTTGTGCTTTTTAAAAATCTAGCTTTCTCACTTTTATAAATCCTCTACCTAAGGTAAAACAGATTAATGAGAACTCACTGTTCTTTTTTCCCCCAGGAAAAGCATAGAGGCATTTATAACTATCCTAGGAATTAGATCAAAGGAATAAAAATAGAATACTTATCAAGAAGGTGACCTCTGGTTTATACTTTAGCCAGGTTTTAATAGACTAGCTACTTAGGATAAAATCTAAACTCACGCTTTGACCACAGCTTATCATTCATCAAGTCATTCTTAAAATTTTGAACATTTCAATGTGTAATAAAACCAGCCTTTTGTAAAAAGGGAGATGAGGAATGAAAATTTTTCAATATGGTATATGTGCTTTTTGGAGATGGATGGAGAAGAAAGAAAAATCAGATATTTTGGAGACTTTTTTTTCATTAAGTGAATCTGAAATAGCATTCTTCGTATGTTGCAAAGTGAGCTGGCCAGTTAATGCTGGTTTGGTCATTAATGTACACAAACACTGTAGAATTCCTTGGAAAAAAAGGTAGCCTAACTATAAAAAGTGGGATAAGTAATTCTGAGCTGCTTAGGGATCCCCTCCTGGGAAGAAAATTGCTCTACAATTCCCTTGGGGCTTTTTCTAGCTCATTAGATCTTCAGCAATGATAAGATAATATCTTCTTTCACTGCAATCTGGTTGGCATTTATGAGTCAGCAAGATTCCAGGTTAGGTAGGGTACCTTGGTTAGCCACCACCTTTTTTCCCCTTTCTTACCCAGAGATTTTCTTTTCTTAGGCTAGATGTCTGCAAATTGAAGTTTGAAGGGAAGACATTTTATGTGATTGGCACCCAGAAGGAGGTCAGATACTGTTGTCCTAACTACCTGTTGCTGTGTGCATGTCTAAGTGTGTGCATGAGAGTGAGTCAAGAATAAAACATGCCTTTAGTATTGTAGCCCGCAAAGACCATGACTTTGAAGTGATGATAGTAAAAGCTGTGCACTGAAGACATATTAGAGGTAAACAAATAAGCACTAGTTTACACATTAGCGATGCTGACTAATGCTGGCTATACATCCCTATGTAAAAACAATACTGGGATAAAGTTGAGAATAAAAGGTGGACTCGGACTCTCCCTTCCTCCTTTATACTAAAATACAGATAGATGAAACAAATAAGAAATATGTACAAAGCTAGGTATCAACCAGTTGGAGTGTTACAACTAGAGTCTGTAAATTCCAAGAGTCTTAAAATAAAGGAATTACGATATGTAGGTTGTTGGTTCACCAGGGTATGCTGTTCAGAGAAGGCCATTAGCAAAATGTTGAGCCTCAGAGCTAGCTCCAACGTTCACAAATGTTCTTGATCCTAGATCTGAGTTCAAGTATTAATTATTCCAGGATGGCAATTAAGATGTTAGACTAATCCTAGTGTGATAGAGAGGTAGGTGTTTTCCTGCAATGTTAAGAAGGATTCTGAAGCTCTTTTCTTATCAGAAATAGGGATTAGGCCTGAGTACAGTAGTGCTTGCCTGCACATCTAGAACCTGGGGGGCTGAGGCAAGAAGATCTTGAGTTTAAGGCCAACCTGGACTACTTAGTGTGACATTGTCTTAATGGAAAAAAAAAAGAAAGAAAAATAAGGAGAAACAAAGCTTAAATAGATTACTGATGTCTGCAATGGATGAGTTATTGGAATACCATTTCAAAAATACTTTAAGGAACACAGTAATGTGTTAAGGTACTTCAAATATTTGTAGTAGGAGGCAGGACACAAGTAGGTAAATACCTGACAAAGCATGCACAGCATGAACTGTGTTTAACGTGCTCTGTCTTTTTTTTTTTTTATTAGAAAAAAGCAATGTTGGCATTCCATACTTCAACCCCAGCTGCCTGCAAACATCTTTGGAAGTGTGGGGTGGAGAATCAGGCCTTTTATAAGTAAGTGGCTTTTATTCACTTAATCTTAGGTTTTAAAAGAACATACATTCATTTCTTCTAATACAGATCTTTTTATTGTGTTTAAATGAATCATAAATTTGTTCACCATTCAGGGTGACTCCCAGCCATTGTTGACCTGACCAAGTCCTGAGCTTATTTTGATTCCTATTGAATCACTGTGTGCTGATTGTTTAAAAAAAATTATTATTTCCATAAAAAATGTCACAGAATCTATTTCTGGTTCTGTGCCCTATCCCCAGATGCAGACCTTTATTTGGGATGTAGTCAACAAATATGCCAGTCAGGGGAGTAGGGAACTGAGACAATGTGCTTGCTTGTTTGCTTGCTTGATGTATCTGTCTGTCTATCTATCTATCTATCCATCCATCATTTAGACAGGGTCTTGTTATGTAGCTTAGGCTGGCTTTGAACCTGTGGTCCTCCTGCTTCAGCCTTCTGAGTGCTGAGATTATAGATATGTGCACCACACCTTGTTGGGGTGCATTATTGAGCAGGTTCCTTACTGTGGGCTGCTGGGCTCAGCTCTGTTGAAGAACACTGGGAAAATGTATAAAAAGTTTCAAAGTTCTCCAGAGGTGGACTGTTTATCTGCCACCCTCTCATTCATTTTGGTGGAGGGGTTCTTTGGAGGGTAGAGTTAATACTCTCTGGCACTTTAGTTTACTCTGAGCATGGGACTTTTAGCAGACAGTCATGCATATTCATAGTAAGAAGTACATAGAATGGGACGCAAAGTTTTGCTAGTGGAATGCTGTCAGAGTCTAGGATCATGGTGAGTTGGGGCTGGATGGCACTTTAGATGGCATCCATAAAACTCCCAGCTTTCAAAAGAGGTTCACACCAAGGATGAGTCCATGGAGTTCTACCTTCTCCTCTAAGACCCTCTTGTTGACTGGGAGAGCAGTGCTGATGGATGCAGCCTGGAGCCTAGCCTGTCCTGCCGAAGTCAACAGCACCGTCACCCCTGAAACTCCCAGTCCAGGTGGCTTTTGATAAATTTCCTGTCCACTGAGCTTCTACCTTACTCATTAAACCCATCTCTTTCTTTTGACTTCTTAAGGGTTTAAGATGAATTCTGACAAAGAGAACATTACCACATATTGACACACAGACATATGTGCCTCCTTCTCTCTCCCTCTCTCTCTTCTCTCTCTCTCTCTCGGGTTTGAACTCAGGGCCTTGAACTTGCTAGGCAGATGTTTTACCTCTTGACACATGTCCTCAGCTGGGGAAAGGGTGAAAAAAGAGGTTAAAGGAAGATTGTGAATATGATCAAAGTATTTCATGTACATGTATGAAAGTAGAACGAATCCTATTAAAATTGTTTAAAAGGGGCCTGGGGGAATACGAAACAGTACCAGAAGGGGTGAATTTGACCAAAGTATATTATATGCAAGTATGGAAATATCACAATGAAATCCCTTTGTATAATTAATACATGCTTATTTTTGAAAAAAGAAGAATCCCTTATCTCATTGTAAATGCTAAGTCTCTGAATCTTCTGGGCTTTTGTTGGTGAGGACCATCAGGAGGATGATGGCTTGGATAATGATTTTCAACCTGTTTTCAGTCACAGAATTCTTTTCTTTAAACTGAAATATAGACGAAACCCAATAATGTCAAGAAGTAAAAGTAGAGAAGCTATGGCTATAGCTACAGACAGAATTGGGATTAGAGACTGAGGACCCTTCACTCATTGTTCATGCATCTTCAGAAGCTTGGGTGACCAGTTATACCACTTACCTGGAATCTTCCAAGCTTAACACCAAAAGTCCCATGTTCCAAGAAACCCTTCAGTACTAGGTAAACCCTATTAGGACCATAATTAAAAATGCTTTAATGAAACAATTCATGAAATGCTACACATCTAGGACTGACAAGAAAAAGTGACCACTACCTGAGGCTACTTTGTGCTTCCTGCAGTGTTTGGAGACTGATAAAAAGGGATACTTGTTGGCCTCTAAAAAATCAACATGTCAGGCTGGGTATAAAGGTACAAGTCTGTAATCCCAGCCACTTGGGAGGTAGAGATTGGGAGGACTATGGTTAGAGGCTAGCCTGGGCAAAAAGTTAGCAAAATCCCCATGTTAACCAACAAGTTGGGCATGTGTGTGTGTATGCCTGTAATCCCAGACAAGTGGGAGACATAGGTAGGAGGATTACTGTCCAAGGTCTGCCCCAGGCTAACAAATGCAAGACCTTATCAGAAAAATAGCTACAGTAAAAAGGACTCAAATGGTAGAGCCCTGTCTAGCAAGCAAGAGGCAATTATAATAATAATATTATTATTATTATTATGTTGGTTTTTTTCTTGCTTCTTTCACTTAGTATAATTTTTTCAAGCTTTACTATGTTGTAGCTTTTGTCAATATTTCATTCTTTTCGATGTGAATAATATCCCATCATATGGATATACCACATTTTGTTTACCTACTCACTAGTTGACAGACATTTGAGTTCTCTCTTTTTTGCTATTATGAAGAATGCTACAATGGGCATCAATATACAAACTTTTGTGTGGGCAGTTTTCTTGGTCTTATACCTAGGAGCGGAGATCTTGAGCCATAGGATAACTATAACTATTTTAGAAACTGACTGTTCTTAGAGCCTAAACTTTTGATGAAACTGGTATCTGTCAAAAGACAGGTTATAAACATTTAATTAGTTATTTCAATGAGTATTTTCTCACAAGTGAAATAGTCAATAAATGAAGTCAAGAAATTAGCCATAAGCAAGATGATATCCATACCGTCTTTTATTATCATTTTCACATTTGATCTCTCTGAGGTTTGGAACTAGGTTCTGCTTTTCTGTGCATTTCCTGAAGATCTCAAGTATTGGAAACATATTTACTGGATTGAATTGATAATTTGTGCCTTCAGAAGATCTTTGTTTCATTGTTAGAGACCACCAGGGGAGTAAAAGAAAGATGATAGTAGGTGAGTCTGCTTGGGGGATCTAGGAGGGGAGACCCTTTCAGGTGGAGGAAGGACATCATGACCCGAATATGGGTTCAAGGCAGGGCAGTGAATGACATGTTTTGAGTAGGATGAGTGTCTGCACAAAGTTCGGGTACAAGGTAAATGAGGTGGAAAGGGAGGAGTTGAAGGCCTGGGAGATCTTGGGCCAGATGTGAGGGGCTCAAACATGGGAAAGAAGCAGCAGAAGTGTGATAGTTGTGGCTAGTCATTCTTCATCCCACAGAGGGAGCAGAAAAGGCCTCTCACAGACACCTCAGGGAGACCTACTGGGAACAACTTTCACACAGCCTTGAAGATATGTTAGTGAAACCGTAGAGTCCTTATCAAAGAAAAACTTAGAGACATTAGTTCATTATTTTTCACACATGTTGTTCTATCATGTATGAGGAAGTCAGTTGGTAGATGGAGTCAAATAAAGGCAGCAAAGACAGAATTGAAATGGGGGTGATTGTGGAGTGGCTCAAGTGGTAGAGAACCTGCCTAGTAAGCATGAGGCCCTGAGTTCAAGCCCCAGTAACTGCAAAGAAAAAATAATTGAAAAATGGAGAGAGGAAAAGACTATAATCATGTTGCATGATTTAGGGTAAGTGGATTAGCTAGGGAGTCAGTCTGATAATTCTGTCATTAATGAGGTTGATTATGCAACCAAATAAACCCCTTCCAGTCATCTGTGGTTGCTTCACAAGAGCCAGAGAGTTAGCTGTCAGCACATATGACAGACTATATATGCTTGACTAAGTCCTTGAACTAAAGGCTCTGGTTTTGTTAGATCATGCTGCTCAGGCTTTCTCATTTGGAATTCTCCTCTCTAGTATTTGTACCAATCTGAGATTTGCCAGAACCTTTTGCTCTTCTTCCATTATCACATAATTATTCTTGGTCCTTTGGAAGAAGGAAAGATTTTGTTCATTCTGACCCAGCCATGTGAATCAGTCACTTTCATGCTTTTCTTCTCATCTATAGAATGGAGGGCCTGGAATTTACCTGTTCCTTTTCATGCTATCCCTGTGGTTTAGCATAATGAACATGGGTTTTGGAAGTCAACAGGCTGGGGTTTGAGTCTTAATTCTGTTACTGGCCAGCAGTTTGGTATGGGAAAAAGCCCTTCAACTCTGAGCCTCATCTTTATTTTCCATCTGTCAAATGCTGTGGCACTAACCTGCCTTATAGTGTTCAATTCTGTCAGGTATGATAACCAGTGGTAAATGGCAGCAGTTGCTAGAACTATTATTATAGCCCCTCTGAAAATGATGAAAAGGTTTTTGAGCACTAGTGGAATGCAGAGTCCAGTGCCCTTGATTCTATGGGACTCTGACTGCTCACCTCAGGATGGGAAGCTGGTTCCCCTGCTGTTCCAGTGCTTTCCCAGGAGGAGGAGGCCCTGTTCCACGTCCAGCTCTGTCTGACAGCACAGCTGGCCCTGGTTTCAGCTGGCAGATCAAGGCCCTGATTTTATTTCCATATCCACGTCACCTGTCATGGGAATAGGGAGGCCCAGTGGTCACTCCAATGAATTCCTCAGGGTGTGCTTTTAAGACATGAATGTGCTACTGGTTGTCAGCTGGTCCTGGGCCAGGAAACTGGTTTGAAAGCCCTGGCTCTGAGATTTGCTGCATGGGAACAGACACTAGAAGCAGCAACCCTGATTTGTCCATCTACTCCAGACCCCAGGGGATTCCCAACACAGACTTAATTACCATTTAAGGGCTTACTTTATATTATGTGTGTTGTAGGTGTCACCAGCTTTGGGACACTGGAGTTTCCCTTTGTTGGGTACTGGTTCACTGGTTGCACCAAAGGATTTAGTGGCTTACTGGTGTTTTCATCCTAAAACTCTGTCTCACATCTGTTTTGTGCTTTGCATTGTGCTGGGCATTTAGGGATATAGTGGAGGCTCAATGACATTCCCTGTCCTCATCTAGTATGGAATTGCATGCAGGTGATAAAGGCAGTTGCTAATAAATTTCTCATTTGGAATTTGGTGTGCTAGAGAGTGAT